TTGTGTCGCTTGGCTAATGTTTGATGTTATTAGAACGATGTCATCAGCAAAGCAGAGGTGGTATAGTTGCCGACCATCTATCTTCACTCCCATTTCTTCCCATTCCAGTCATCGCATGACATTATCAAGGGTGGCACTGAAGAGTTTAGATGAAATGATATCACCCTGCTGAACCCCTCTCTTGACATGGATAATCACTTATTTGTACAATGGTGAGATCCTCATAGTGAATCCGTAATACAGCTCATGGAGGATTCTGATGTATTGAGTTTGAATGCACTGTTTGGCTTGGGCTTCAATGACAACTTTAGAATCAACAGAATCAAAGACCTTATTTAAATCAATGAACGTTAGACAGAGCAACATCTTGAACTTCCGAAAAACATCAATGAGCTTGGTTGTCGTGTGGATATGGTCGATGGTGCTGAATTCTTTTTGGAACCCGACTTGCTCACATGGTTGTCCTTCATTTAGTGTTCTGCCAATACTATTCAGGATAACTCGAGTGAACAGCTTGTAGATGACAGACAATAGGCAGATCAGGAGATAGTTGCCAATGTCATGGATGTCTCCCTTCTTGTACAGTAGTACAGTCCTGCTGGTTTTTCGTTGGGATGGAATCTTGCATTCAAAGGGGTATCATGTGAAGAGCCAAGCCAGTGTATTGATGAGTACTGACAGCAGATTCTTCAGGTGTTCAGGTCTGACATTGTCTGGGCCAGGTGCTGTTTGCTTCTTTACCGATGAAATAGTCTGTCAGATTTTGGAAGGGAGAACATTGGGAACGACATATCCAACCTGCGGAATTTGCTATGTGGGCAGGTGGACGTGGCTATTGAAGAGATCCGAGTAGAAGTCATAGATAATTTTCTCCATTGCCCTTCTGGAAGATATGATGGATCCATCAGGATGTCGGAAGGCAGTCATCTCGGTCTTGTTGTTGGTGAAGGACAGTTGGGTATTGCGAAAGTTTTTCCCCATTTCTGCCGCATCTGCCAGCACTGCTGCTCTTCTCTCTTTGAGGTCTTCCATTATCGCTTCTCTGCACTGCTTTGCTAGCTCAGATGTTAGCTTGCGGTTGCCTGAGGCTTGCGCCAAGCCACATTGGCGAATACACTCAAGAGTTTTTGAAGATAGGCGTTTCTGGTTTTTTTTTTTTTCGGCTCTCTCTCTCTTGGCATTCCTTGCACAGTCATGGAGGTGCTGAACCAGTCGATCATATTCCTTGTCAATGTTGTCAATGACGGCATCTCCCCATGTTGCCACAATAGTGCCAAAGAGCTCCCAGTTGGTGGTCATTCTGGGAGTTCTCTTCTTAATCTTTGCAGCTCTTTCTCCCCTCTCCTTGAAGCAGAATTACACACACAGAAGAATCACCCTACTAGTATGAAATAAATACCTCACCGGCAGACCTCCACTACCTCCACTACCTCCACTATCCAGCTGCTGCCATGCTCCAGGATGCTTTCCAGATGCTTAGGCCGAGACTCACGCATGAGTGAAGCCCCACAGAACCAGGTAAGCGGAACTCTGTGACCTTGGACTCCAGGCTCAATGGACCCAGGAACAGAGATCCTCTGACTGTTCCCACCAACCACAGGTGACCAAGGGATTAAAACCAGGAGCCCTACCCTCCCCTGCCCTGTCTGCTTCCACCAACCACTGGCAACCAAGGGATTACACACAGAAGAACCACCTTTACCGGTACCAGATAAATACCTCATCGGCAGACCTCCACTACCTCCACTACCTCCACTACCCAGCCTCTGCCACGCTCCAGGATGCTTTCCGGACCATGCGGCCACTACACATCATAAGACACTTAATACCCACCTTCCAGGATTGCCGCACCATATTAGATAGGGTTCAAGTATGGTTTTAACCATTGGACATCTGCAAGGGTGAATATAGACCGCCCTAAAAGCTTCTATTTCTCTCAGAGAGCCCGGCAAACTACCAAGAATATCCCGCCTGCATGGCAGAGCCTGGCAAGCTATCCTTGTTGTATTCAATATGCCAAAACCAGTAACTACAATGGGTCTCATTCCCCTGACCCTGAAAGAGCCACCAATATGTCAGCTTTAAGAAGGCTAAGGACAAAAGGGAATGCCCTGCCACAGAGGCAGGGTGGAATGGGAGGGGGAGGGAATGAGGGTGGGAGTGATACTGGGATCCGTGGTGGTATAATATGGACACTGGTGGAGGGATGGGTACTTAATCATTGTATAATTGAAACCCAAGCACAAAAATTTGTAAGTCTACAACTGTACCTCATAGTTTGTCACTATAATTTTTTTAAAAAAATAAATATAAAAATAATAAGCAAAATAAAGCAAATATAAAGTAAAAATAAAAGATGGCTGAGGAAGGAGAGGCTGATAAAATCTCAAGGCCAAACTAGGCTGCCAAAATGAAGAAAGACAAAAATGACTGTCTGTACTTTCAATGCACATACGCTGGCATCAGATGCATCCATCGAGGACCTGATAGTACAAGCGCGAAAGATCAAGCACAACATCTATGGTCTGACCAAGACAAGAAGGCATCAATCACATCATGCCATTTTCGACACCAGAGAAGAACTTTTCCTTGGAACATGTGACAAAAGAGGCGTCGGAGGTGTCAGTGTCTTTGTGAACACAAACTTGGCCATGAGCATTGATTCATTCAAATGCCTAACAATCCAAATCAGAGGATTTCACTTGAATAGATGTGGCTCACTGCTAGCAGTTTCTATCTTCGTTGTCTACGCACCAACATCCAATTATGATGAAGGAGAAATTAAGAAGTTCTACATGGAGCTGGAGAAGTTCTCTAAAGGAGACCACACCTTCTACAAGATCATTGTCTATGATTTTAATGCCAAGATAGGACTGAGAAGATCGGCTGAAAACTACACATCAGGACCCATGGCCTAGAATGGAACGAACAGTATGATAGACTATCTGAGTTCATCATGTTGACCAAGACCATCCATGGTAACTCACAGTCCCAGAAGGCTGAATCTGAACGTTGGAGTTTGGAGTCTCCCGGTGGACGGTTCCAAAACAAAATTGACCACATCATATTCAATCGATGGTTTTGCCTGACCGATGTCACTGTTGTACCAAACTTCCAAACGGGATCGGACCACCGTCTCCTTCTAATCATATATAACTCCAAATTTTAGGCTCTCTACACCGAATTCTGACTTTCATGGGAATAAAGAGAGATGTCTGTGTTGGTGTGTTCTACAGGTATCAAGGACATCTGTTGTAACAAGGGATCTCCCTTTATCTGAAGTGTTGGTATTGTACAGTTTTGAGGGCAGGTGGGTGGGGTAAATATCAGTGGTGTGAACAAGTAAAAGGAGGAAAATAAAAGCTATGTTGGAATCAGGGTAGGGCAGAACCAGTTAGGAGGTGGGAAGAAACATTCTGCACATGCATTTGTTATGCACATGCAACAGCTTTATTTTATAGTTTAAAATTCCAAATAAGAGGCCTAACCATTCTGTCAATGTTAGGATTACATGAACAAATGACCTAGTAAGTTTACAGATACAACAGCAGCTTAGTTTGATAAGGGAAGAAAATCTTAAAGTGAGCTTCTTTTCTAATTTAAGCCTGTATCTCTGAATTTATCCCCCCCTTCTGCCTTTCTGTGCCTTTTTTTTCTGGTCCAGAACACAAACTATTCTTACCAGGGACTCTTATGTTTCTATAATTTTAATTTAGTTCGTATTTCAAATCCATATTCCTTCATTAAACTGCTATGATCAACCCATCATTATCTTCTACTTGTATTTTAGTGTATACCATTATGCACACCTGATTCTCATTTGTACTTAAATGTGAAGTACATTAGCATTCTTATGATTTATGCCTGTGATGTTTGGTTTAATATCGTACCTAGTTAACGTCTAGATATATAAACCAATTTTTAGTTTCTGAAGGGATAGGCATATTTTTCTTGCTTTTTGGTGATGCACAGGGGTTACTCCTGGCTTTGCCCTCAGGATTACTCCTGGTAGTGCTCAGGGGACCATATGGGATGTTGGGAATTGAACCCGGGTCAGTTGCGTGCAAGGCAAATGCCCTACCCATTGTACTATCATTCCAGCCCTGGGATAGGCATATTCTAAGAATAACAAAAACTCTATTATCAAATACACACCATGAAATGGGTCAATGAGCACTTACCATAGAGAATTATAATAAAAATTATTATTTTATTAGACCATAGATTTTAAATGTTATAATTTACCTGTCATTTTTTCACTCCAAATAATATATTATAGATGTCTTATATTTAACGACCATCAGTTACAGCTGTTTCTCTAGATTTTTTGAAAGAGGGTGGCAGAGAAAAATATAAGAGCAATCTTGAGAAACTTAAAATAACTGGGGAAGTAAAAGCCTTTATACTTTGTCTTTAATTTTGGTCAAGTTTCTTTGAATCAACAATCACAATAGAGAAGCTAGGGATCAATATAGATTCACAAATCACATTAGATTAGATGGGAACAGGATCTCCTGAGCAGGATCATAATGGGTGTAACAAGAGTGAGGTCTGGAAAACAGAAAACAGAGAGAAGAGAAGGCAAAAAATTATAGCCAGGGAGAATCATCAGTCTGGACAGGACTTGGCAGCAAAAGAGACAGTAATGAAGAGGCTATATGAAAGGAAATTTTAAAAAGCAATGAATTTGCGAATAAGAGATAGGATAGTTACATAGCTCACATCAATTAGTTCTGGCTAAGAAGGACAGGACCATTAGGAGCAAATGGAAAGTGTTTCAAAGAGGGAAGAGACCTGAACAACTTTGAAATTAGAGTACACAAGCATGTAATTAAGGAAGAGAGGGGAAAACTTGGCAATGAGTTCCCAAAAGAAGGAGACAGGAATAGAATATAGATAACACAGAAGAAAAGGCATTAGAGGAGAGAAAAACTCCCTACCAAGAACACATAGATATGGAGAATTAATGAGAAAAGTTAGAGATATAGGAGGGAACTCACCCCAGATGGTTTTCATCATGTTCAGGATGTGGGAGGTGAGATCAGCAACTGAAGGCAAAAGAAAAGTTGGGAACGGATGAAAATACTCTGGTGAACTGTGGTAGAGTTTTATGATGTATCAGTGTCATCATCATCATTATCATCTTTGCTTAAAGTGCTCATCTTATATAATTCATTCTTAACTGTCAAGAGCATGAATCATATAGGAAATACCTAGTTTCTTGATCATTAAAGTGTAAACAATGTAAGTTCTAGATATATTTAAAAATCCAGAAAGAAATGAAGTTGTATTTTACAATTTTTAATTTTTCGTGAACCCGCTAACTTTTTTTAAAATGTGGATTTTTGTCTCTTCTAATCTAGGTTGTTATCACACAATGTTTTGAAATGAAAAACCAGTGATGGGAATGACCATTTGGTTGGCTGACACACAAATTTTATAAGTAATAAATATTAGAAAGCTAACATTTAAATCATACTTAAAATATGGAGAAAATCCTAACTTGATTGAAAATCTCTGTATCATGAATCTTTTGAACAACTATGTAGTGAGAGATATCTCTAGGCAAAGTTATGTTTGTACTGAAGCCACACAGAAGACTACTGCAGACTATGACAATTCTGTCTCCTCAAGAGAGAGAAGCTATGTAGGGCTGAGCTTAGTTATCCCTGCCATAAGAAATCCACTCATAGAGAAGGAAGAAAACAACTAATTTTTAAGACTGAAGGACATAAGCATATATCAATCCTGGAGAAATTTATAACAAATTTTAAATAACCATCCTGCTGATTAGGAAATGAATTCCCTAGCACTTTTATACCATCCTTTAAAATGCTTTATTATATTTTATGTGTGTTATAAATTTCAGGAAAAAAAACTGCAAGTTGCCTACATTTCAATGAAGTGGGAATTTTTAAGATGCCACCTCAATCAAGGTTTCCCAAATCGTTATAATTGTATGTGTTTGGAGCCAGACATCAACCTGCTTGTGGTATAGAAACTTATTTTAATTATCTTCCTGGGCAGCTACTTTACCAGCAAAACTCCAATTATCACAAAGCATAATTGCAGCATAAAAAGAGGAGAGGGTCACTTGACAAAGGATTTTATTGACTTGAGGTTTTTCATTTACTCCCCTAGAGATTACTTATGCAAAATGTTCTGACAGTTCACGGATGACTTGAGCATCAACTTTTTAAAAGATTTCATAAGTTCTCCTGGGTTCCAAATTAGGGAGCAATCCCCCGGGTGAACATCAGAGTTTTATCCAAGGGCTGTTTTCATTTTGTGAGACTTAAAATGCCATTCCTTCTTATTTGCCATAGGTTTCTTCCACTTTTGTGCACTTGCAGGATAATGAGGTCTCACCTCCGGATGTTTCGTCTTTCCCCTTCCTACCAGCAATATGCCATTCAAACACACTGCACCAGGGAAAACTGCCGAGAACAACTGATTAAGAAGAATATTAAAACAAAATTGTTCTTTCCTCCCATCTTGTGGGAAAGAAAAAACAGCTTGCTTCATTAAGATTCAGAGAGTGGCCTGGAGGAGGCTTCCTAGGTGTTGAGTTTCTAACTAAGAAGAAGATTATAATATTCAGCCCCAAATATTAAAATTTTGGCATAGAAAGCTGATCAAGAAAGTGAAAGAAACCCATCGAACAGTGTTACTGGAAACTCCCCTTCCTCTTCACTATTCAAACTAAATAGAGAATGGAGAGTCACACAGATACTGAAATCCAGAGGGGTTCCCTTGCAAGCCATTCTCTGCTAGTGGTGTCTTGGTTTAAGCTTTGTAATCACACAATAAGATCTGTAAAATGAACAAAATAGATTTTATCCATGATTTTCAAGTAAACTGAATCAAGATAACACAGAAAACGATTTCAACTGTTCGGCATGTACTTAATACTTAATAAATTTTAACTATATCATACAAAATATTTTTTAGAATGTAATTCAAAAAATTACTAACCTGAAGTTCTTATCTTTTTTTCTTTTTTGGGTCACACCTGGCAATGCTCAGGGGTTACTCCTGGCTCTGCACTCAAGAATTACTCCTGGTGGTGCTCAGGGGACCATATGGGATGCTGGAACTTGAACCCGGGTTGGCTGGGTGTAAGGCAAAACCCTACCCATTGTGCTATCACTCCAGCCCCTGAAGTTCTTATCTTAATGTAAGTTATTTCTAGGAATGATCACTCCACTCCACAATACGATCTGAGACAGATCTTAAGTTATACATCTCTTTTTTACTCCATCTTCTTAGAAACGTTTTTAGAGCATACACAAACATTGAGAGCATACACATGCTTCCTCCATTTTGATGACTATCAGCTTGTATTTTCAGTTATATATCTACCATTTTCCCCAATATAATTCTGAAGCAATACTCAGATATAATTTCCTCCAAAAATATTTCAATATGTATATAAAATAGAGAATTGAACACTTCACTACTATCATACTTTATTTTATTTAAAGCATCATGGTTTACATTGCTGTTAATCACAGGGTTTCATGCATACAACATTCCAACTTATCACACATTTATTTATCTATTTTTGGTTTGTAGGCCACACCTGTCAGTCCTCAGGGATTACTCCTGATTCTGCACTCAAATATCTCTCTGGCAGGCTTTAAGAGCCATATTGGGTTCTGGGAATCAGATTTGGGTTGGCTGCATGCAAGGAAAATGCCCTCCCCATTGTACTATTGCTCTAATGACTTATCATACTTTTAAAGTGAGTTAATTCTCTACTATCAAATATCCAGCCAGTTTCCAAATTTCCAAGCAGCTGTGTGTTTCTTTCCTAACATGAATCAGAATCTAAACAATATCCACAAACTACAATCCATTGGTAAATCTTTTAAGATTAATTACACCTATACTTCCCTTCAAGGGCTGGAGCGATAGCAGAGCAAGTACGATGTTTGCCCTGCACACGGCCAACCTGGCCCACCTGAGTTGGATTCCTCTGCCCCTCTCTGAGAGCCCAGCAAGTTACTGAGAGTATCTCACCCGCACGGCAAAGCCTGGCAAGCTATCCATGACGTATTCGATATGCCAAACACAGTAACAACAAGTCTCTCAATGGAGACGTTACTGGTGCCTGCTTGAGCAAATCGATGAACAATGGGAGGACAGTGCTACAGTGCTACTTCCCTTCATATCCTTCTTTCCCCTTGCTAAATAATCTAGGCTGTTATTAAATTAGGAGTTCTGTGCAGACTAGAGTTCCCTGATTACATCCCTCTGCTGTCTGTTAATACATTTGTCTGGTTTTCTTTTCTTTCTGAAAACTGGTAAATGGATCAAAGGACTTGATAAAATGAAGTTTAATCTTTGTCAGGAGTAAGTCACAAATGATTCTGTGGACTGCTATCATACGGTAAATAAAGCTTTCTCTTCTCTCTTTGTGTGATACTAGCTTCTTCTCTGAGGCCACTTCCTAATCTGTTATTGCAGAATGAAAATATTCTATCACCTATTGTTTATTTATTATCTATATAAGAAAAACTCTGTCACCAATTCTTTAAAATCCTGAAGTACAGTTGATACACAAAAAAAAGCAGAATAGTGGTTTATTTTTTCCATCTGTTTCTAAATACTGAGTTGGCTTGCTAATATTCTATACAGGTGACTACTGAGAGATTATTTATTCTAAACATCATTATAAACCTGTTCATTTAAATATATGATTCAATCAATTATAGATATGATTCTGAAGGTCAAAAAATTCTATTGTTGATTTAGTAAGAATCCATTCAGATCAATTCCTGAATCCTTTATACATAGGCCTATTAGTATTTATGGTCTCCTTTCTTGGTTAGTAACAGGTTGAAGAAACAAACGTTTCTCAAGGACCTTATTTTCTTTTAAGAGGGAAACACTAGTGGTGCCATTGCTAGTTAATGATTCTAGGCCTCCTCAGTAGAAAGAGGTTTAAAATATGTTTTTATTAAATACATCACAAGTTTAGACTGACATTGCAAATTAAATTCAAGGTTTCTATTAATATCTAATATCATTCATCTTCACTGATCTTTACCCTTATCTTCCTTTATCAACATCTAAACTTCCAGTTCTCAAGGTCACCAACATAACTGCGTCTCTTTCATCTTACAATAATAGTTTTGGATCATAATATGACTATTACTACCAATTATATATGTACTAGAAGCTGAGATTATAAATAAAAATATTTCATTTTTTTATTTCTAAGATATATAGTGAAACTACTGTGCTTAAAATAATTTAAGAGCAATTCTCTATGTGGTTATACCAACAGTATGTTACACAGATTAATAGTTTTGCTTTACATTTTTGTTTTACTTTTGATCACTTTATATTTACTGTCTTTTAATTAAAATCTCAAAAATCATATCTACAAAAAAGGACCCCTCCAGCATGACTCTGCATCCAGAGCTTTGAACACCAGCTCTCTGGGCTGCTCAGTCAGGGGAGTATTCTGGGAATGGCCTGGAGTTGCTAGAGCATTATTTGTGAGCCCCCAAATACAATGAAATTGACATTTTTTAAACATTCCTAACACCTTCTTTTAAGGTGTCAGTGTTAAAAGGAAACATACCAGAAAACAATCATAACTATATTTTTCTTAATAGTTGTCTATTTGTTAACTTCACAATTGTATTTCTTTACACAAAAATTTTATAGGCACCTGTAAGAGCCAATATTCCATTAATAAAAACCATGAAATATTTATAAAGAGCTATAGAATGCATGGAAGCTATCTTTCTTTTTTGCCAGTTTCTTGTTTGTAGAAACTCATAATAGATATTTTATAATGGAAAATTTAGAGCTAGAAAAACTAAATAGGAATCTTAGCTAAGTTGCTAACTAACTGGCTGACTCTTAGGCATGCCTTCACCCATTACAACTTCAATTTTCTCATCAGTCAAGTGGAGATAATACTACAAATGCCAGCGTGTTGTTGTGAGAAAGAAATAATTATCAGAATGCAACGTACAAACCCCACAGCACTGTGCAGACATAAAGCATAATAAAGAGGGAATTAAATGGCTGGTTTACTAAAATCCAATCTTAAAGCTTTAATTTGTTTGTTTAAAATGATGGTAA